TTTACGCAAATAACCACCAGTATTTTAACACTGCATGCTATGTTGGATGATGACATGAGCTTTTTTTTGGTTACACTCATTTCGACTTGTAATATCGATACCATCAAGATAATTCAGGTTTTGTAGCACTTTTTTCTTGTGTGCATGCAAAATTTAGGTTTCACACGGCGCCACTGTCGAGGATATATCTATAAAGTAGCATCACTTCAATCATCACCGAAATATAGGCGCGAAGAATGGAAGAGACGTAATTCTTGGCGATCACGCGTGCTTTGTTCATCCTATGCCAACACAAGTTTAGCTAATGCTTCGTTTATTGCTAGTTTTCCTATGCTTTCATTGTTCTATTTCCTCTCTTTATGACTGTCTTTTTACACTTATAATAATATGTTCGTCAAGTTTGTGCATGCCATTCAGACTTACTTTTTTTCCTTGAGATCTTTGCTATTTAAGTGCTCCTGCACTTGCAGAAGTTATTGGTGCGTTTCTTTTTCACATCTTAATACAACATTAAAGTGGAGCCAGGAGAAAGAGAGTACAGGAGAATAATGTGAGGTCCTCTTCCTATTATTCTTGTGTTCCAGGTAATTCAATACGTATAGTTTCAGCTTTGCCACCGCCACCTTTACCACCGCAAAATGAAGAACTTGAAGACGGCGAAGTTTTATAACGGTACGTTCTCCCGCTGTTTTCATAAGCTTAGGAATTGCGGATAGGTTCTTTTTTTCACAGAAGAGATTTTTTTCTTTGATGTTGATTTGTGAAATTTTATCATTCATTCGCAGATTTTCATACGCTAATAATCTGTCTATGTTTTTATTCATTTTGGTATATGCTGTGTAGTCAATGATCTTGCAGATTTATTGTATCTATAGCTGGATTCTAATTCGGTCATAGCTTATAGATAATGTAGTTATGTAGAAATTTGGCTGTTGAAAAGCATCTGATTTTAAAAAAAATGTAAAAAGGAATGTAACATAGCATTAGTTTTTCAAAGATGGGTATAAGTATAAACAATGAAAATATTTCTGGAGAAAAATGTGAGCTGTTTAATTTATGACAGGGATGACGAAACAAATCGATTTAAATGGACAACATGTTTTTGCTCAATGTAAAAGAAACTTCGCCTTCTGTATACGAGATATTCGAGTTTCTAAATGGTGTTTTTATAGTTCCTTATCACTAATCAAGGGAAGATAAGAGCTGAATTCTAATTTATAAAATCTTCAGTAATGTAAAATGTTGGAAAGCATCTGTCTATAAGATTTTTGAAATCTTGCTACATTCTTAGAGAAATAAAATCTTTTAATGTATGTTTCAAGAACACTTTTTTTTTTAATTTTATGGAAAATATTGCTGAGATTGACGAAACAAAGTGGAATGGGTGCAAAGCTATTATAGCTATAATCAGCATACGTCAGCATTTTACGCCTCAGTAGTAATATATATCTTTATTTTTTGAATCAGTTTTTTTTTTTTCAAATATTGGTAGTTTGTACATTTAAGTGATGCTTGATCTCTAATGAAATGTTTGTAAGAGATAATTGGCTGTCATTTTTCCGAAGCTTTTATTTCGTCTTTATTGTGGATGCTGTTACTGTGCGAATTGTTGTGTGCGGGTCTTTTTTGTGCTGTTTTTTTTTTTTTTTTTTTCGATTCTCTTACTGCTAGTACGCTGGACCATGCGTGAACCGTGTCAACCGGCCGACCAATTTCCCGACAATAAGGAATATTTACCGGCACACACCTTTCGATTTTCTGAAATTCTCGTGATTCGATGGGTTTCACCATTTCTTTTACTATTATTGATGTATGATCTACTTTTTCCTTTAATAAAATTCTTTTTGTAACAAAACGTCTTTTTTAACAGGTAGTTTTTTCGCAAATTACATCACTGAAATGAGGTATGAAACTTCAGTGATGAAGTTTTCGCCGTTTTTGGGCTATATTGTTTCTAGGCAATTATTTTTTAACCTGATTGTCTCATCTTTATATGAAATTTGAAAGCGGAGTTTTTTTTCTGTTTCCTTTTATTATTGATGAAATCTCTAGAAATTTATAATGCATATCTTGATAGTCGAAGGAAAATATGCTACATAAGTTTGATAAATTAGTGAATCTCTTACTCATGATTGCTAATGTAGGTTAACATTCAGATACTCATCGTAATTCTCGGACCGCTGATTCACACATCGACGTAAATTTTAGCTCGAAGAAAGCAAAAAAAAAAACATTTTTTGATCTATTATGATAACTTAAATACATAAAGATCTGCACTTGAGGTCTTCGTTAGTTTTGCGGATTTAGCGAAGTTTTTAACATGTTTGTGAGTCTGAAATGCAATGCGTATGAAAATGTGCTACAGAAGAATGTAAACAGCATATAAACAAAAGTCAGCAGATAGTGGTTGTTGCCAATTTCTAGTAGCAACAAAGAGTGGGAGAGTTCTTTCTGTCTAGTTGTTTTCTGGGTATATCAAACTTGCGTAATTAAACTTTTATTCTAATAAAAATTTAGCAATTATCAATAACACAAAAGGAAGTGAAAATTTACACCACATATCCCAACCAAATCGATCTAGCCCAAAGAATTTCATAAAATAAATTTGATGAGTAGGACCGTACGCTATAACGAATTGGAAAATTCAGTTCCTTACAAAATATCAAATAGCCTTTTTAGGACAAGCATCTAATATAGCACTTTTTTGTGTTAGCGCAATATAAAATGGTAACGCATTATCTATGTAAAAAAAACTGATGATATCTGGCTTTAAATAAAGGTTATCGTCTTCTTATTTCCACTCGCGATATCAGTGATACCGATGAGCCTCAAATATGAAAACTGAGGCAAGATTTTCGTCTCTAAGAATGATTTGAATAACATTTGTAAGGGATGATGATATGAAGTTAATTTCTTAAATTTGGCAGTATTTCCAACACATTAGCCTTAAATGGAATGCATATGAAAATTACATCTTTGATCGTCGCATAGTAGTAGAATGTTCAATGGATACTGTGGTATTTGTGATATCCAGCTCTGCAAGGAAATCTTTGTCGCTAATGTTTAGCATAGGAACGACAAGCAATACTTGCTATTGTAATAACACAGCGAGACATTCAAATTAAGGAAAATTTTAAGCATTCTGTCAACATAAAATGTAATCTACATAATTAGCACAATAATAACTATGACAATATGTACTGGCAAAATTATTTTCTTATATTCATTTTAATCAAACACTGAATTTTTTATCTGTTCTTTCATGACCCTTTAATAGAAGAGAACAAGAAGTCATTGTTAAGTCAAAGAAATAATGATGTATTTATGGCACATATACATAAAGTAAGAGTGTTACAACAAACACACCGATGAAATTCCATTGGAAACAAGGACTAGTATGTGAATATGGAAAGAAAAATGTGTGAAGAAAATTTGACTGCAACATAACAGTCGATTGAAATACAATTGACCATTAGATAAAGTCCGCGACCATTAGTATCTGAAAGTTGAGGCAGCACATCTAACTACTCTTACCATTTTGACAAATGTCTGCAAATTGAGTAGAGAGAAATGCATCTGTTGAATTAGAAATCCTATACACTCATTGAGCTAATATGCCGCAGATTTTAATTAATTGTTTAATTAGATAAGTCGTTTAAATTGACCTAATTGATGAATGAATTTGTCTCTCATTTCCCTGAATTAAATGTATTAAAATAATTTCTTACTCAAAAGTAACGAAATACCAAATTTTATGCCAACACAAAAGAAAAACAAGTCTTTTACAAATTATATTGCCTGCTTTTCCTCCTGCACTAAACAATTTAAGTTTAAAATCAAAAAATGAATTGATCAGTGATATTTCACTGCTCTGTTAACCCATCTTTAAAGAATTGTTCTTTCATATTTTTCATTAACAATGTGATCTAAATAATAAGAAAGTTAAAATTTCAACTCTAGAGCATACGGATTCGTTCTGAAATCAGAGTCCAATGACATGAAGATTTAAAGTTAAAATTCAGAGAGACACAAGAAAATACAATATTAGCATAAGTGGAAACTGGAAAACTGTTAAATATATTTTTAATCTGTACAGTTCTAAAATTGACACCTCTATGTAAAACTGAATATTCATTATTGGTATCAAATGATTTGCAAATTGTTAAAGAAATTATCAGTTTTCGCTCTTCATATTATTTCAGTCATATTTTAATCTATAATTTTTATTCTTTGTTTCTTTCAGTTACTCTCTCCATATAGTCAAACCAATAGTTTTCTGTACTACGATTTCTTAGTGTATAATCATATATAATCCACTGAAAATTAAAAGTATATTTACATGTTTATAACAAAAATAAATTAGTGTATCATTTGTTGTAGTAATATTTCTGCCTGCTCATTTTAACTTTTATGCACACTACGATTTGTAAATTTGATAAACGCGAATCATCTAATATTTTGAAGAAACAGGTGGGCATGTACTACTTTTTTTCAGTAGACAAATCGTTTGGTGTGTGCATTAAAATTTGCTATAGAAAATCATTACACTGTGCAGAAAAGAGTTAATAATTAAATTATGCTATTCATCGATTATGACAAATTTTGAGGAAGTTTCATTACTGGAAATGATACAATATTAGTAATTCAACTGAAAGATATAAGATAAATTACAATCGATACCATACTGAATTTCATTCTTCATGGTGACAATAGTTAAACATTTATTTCCTGGGCTATAAGAATTCCCTGTAATCATCCAAGGCAACAAGCACGGCTAAAAATCCAATAAAATCCGGAAGCGCATCCATCAAGTATCAATTAAATGGTACAAAATGAGAATGCAAGGGAGAAAGTATAAAAAATGCGAATCAAAAATTAAAAATTATTTGGATCATTATTCTTTGGTCGTTTAATTCCAGTCAAAATGAAATAAAAAGCTTTCACTTGAGTATTTCTACCATTTTATAAACTCACTATTTCATTTTGTTCTTCGTTAATCGATGGCACAAATTATTTGGCTTAGCTTTCTGCTTTGTATCGCTTCGGCTAATAATGGAACTATTTGTCTACTAAACCTGGATGACATTGCATGGGATGACTGTAGCAATGAATACTTCTCAACTAGCTTCAATATCCTTGATAACATCGATTTGGATCCAATTCTTGGTTCACATACGTTTGTTTATAATAATGAACCGAGAAACACTGGTGGAGACTTGCCAGGTAGAAGTGCTGAAGAATCACACTGTGACATTCCGTTCAATAGTTTGGACTTGTACAATTTTGCTCATTTGTTCAGTGAAGATACAAACAATGTGGAATCGACAACTGGAAGAGCAGAAAATTCTCAGTTATTACTGCAAGAATTGCCGGGAATAAGTGCTGAAATTTTTCAAAGTAGCACTTCACTTGATTCTTTGCACTTTTTCGATTCCATCCAATTACGCAGAATTGAAGATGCAAACACTGAGGAATCCAAAATGAAAACTGATTTCGCTACTGTACAAAATTCACAGCTATCTCTTTTATAAGATCCTTCATTCCAGGTACCACTAAGTTTTTTCTTCTAATATATATTCAAGTTTTTAATATGTATGTGTTCAACTCAGTTTAAGTTCTGTTTTATCTAAACTGAAGTTTACTTCACAGCATTATAATTTGTATGATTAGTTTTTAAATTGCGCTAATTAAATATAAATTCGCATGGCAGAATTGTAAAAATAAGTGTTATAAGAAAGTTTTTCAGATGAGGAAAATTACGAGTGTCCTCTTGTGGGATGTACCATGAAAACAAAGAATCACAAGGAATACATAGCTCACAGGAAAACTCATCTCAAACCTTTTATTTATGAATGCAAAGTGTCCAGTTGTAGGTTAACATTCAATCATCCATCATCATTCTACAACCATCAGAAAACACACGGATCTAAATTTCAGTGCGGAAATTGTGGCAAAATGTTCAACTGTAAGAATATTCTGAACTCTCACATGAAGCATTGTTCGAAGGCTCCTAAGCCTAAGCCTGTTCGAAAGTTAGTTTTACTTTCGTTCCTAATGTGCCTGCAATTTATTTTTATGATTAAATTATTTTAATTAATTACCAAATGATACGACAGAATATGTTAATTGCAGAAACAAATATCAGAAGAGAGTCATTCAGATGAGGAAAATTACGAGTGTCCCATGTCGGATGTACTATGAAAACAAAGAGTCGCAACGATTACATAAAGCACAAAAAAATGCATTCTTTTATTTATGAATGCGAGTATCCGGATATGGGTTAACCTTCAATCATCCATCATCATTCTATGGTCATCAAGAAACCACGGGCCTAAATTTTAAAGCAGGAATTGCAGCAAAATTTTTAACTCAAACGTAATCTGAACTCTTATGGGAAATTTCTTACTTTTACAAATTTAGCATTAGTTTAAGCATATTTATAAGACACGTACGGAAAAATACTCCGTAACATCGGTGATTTCCCGAACTCAGTAATTGCTGCTGTCTTATAATTCGTTAAATTCAATAGTTTTTTTTTTCTTAAATCGGCAGGTTTCAATTCCAAATAGCAAATTTTTACATTGAAAACATCTAAAACGATGATAAGTTTTGTATTTAAAGTAGTCATTTTTGTGATTAGTTTTTTTTTTTTTTTTTTTTTTAAATCATGTTAATTAATCACTGTGTGCCGTGGTAAAATTTTATTACTTCTAATTGTCAAGGTATTCTTTCAATTGCATCGACGGTTGCTCTTCATTTTGATCGTTTTCCTTGATAGAACGTAACTCATTGAGAAGTGATTTTTTAGTGATATGCGACTGTCCAAAATTTCGAGTAAAATTTTGAATAAGGACCTTCGTACGATTCTATAATTTTCCGGAGTTAAATCAATTTTTGTATGCCTAGTATATTTTGTGAATGCACTGCAACCTCATAGCTATTCTAAAACCCTCTCCCCAATATTGTTTATCACCTTAACTACGCAGTGGTAGTTGTGGCAAATTTACAACTGAACGACAAGACTATTGTTGGGAATTTAGTTTCTTCTTTTGTTTTGCCTTTTTTGAGTCGTTAGAGTATTAATTTCGAATCATTTTGTACATGATTAAAGTTATGATTTCCTAACCTTCATTTATTAGGTTTAAAATATCTTTCTTATACTTGACCATTAGTGTAATATTTGCCATGCGCTTTATTTGTTAATGAGATTGAAATATATTGGAATATTCTATTCGTTTTGCATTGGCGGCCTCAAAAATGCCAATACACAACTCAAGGCGCATTAATTCTCCTTAAAAATTGACGTATAATTCGCTTCGGAACTTATTGCTATCCGGAAGTACTACTAATATAGTTTGAAATCTGGAGACCTAATTTATATTTATGAGGTATTTCATGCAGGAATAATTTATCCTCATTGATTAACGATAATCTATTAAAAATAATAAGTGAAAATTAAGAAATTAACGAAAAGGCTGCCATTTACTTCAGTTTAATAAAGAAATGATTTCTGGAAACTTTCATCTTCTTGAGAAAATATTAAATCACATTTTGTTCATTAAACTTCGTTTCAATCTAGTCGAGAATGCTCACTATATCCACAATGCAACATCAACACTGTTAATGGAATATCTGATCTTGTTTGTTTGATGTCAAAAATTGTAATCTGCATAATTGTGCATCTTACGACATGTACTAAGCATATGTATCGCCATCTAAGTAGTTGGATCAATTCACCTAGCACTTCTAGATATGAAGTGTATCAATATTGTGTAATAAATGATACAAATTCTTAATTAACATCATTAATTAATTAACATTTTAGGTCATTAATAAATCGATAGTGAGAACTGTGCAGTGATCTTCAGAAATGGTTAAAAATTCTGCAGTAATTTCTTTAGTGCCTACTTGAATCTTAGAGAAATGAATATGAAGAAGTAATAAAAGTGATCGACATATAAAATTTGAAAATATGCACACTTTCTTTTTAATCTGATTTTATCGTGCTTTTATATTTGAAATAATTAAAATTTGTGATTAAAAAAATTTCTCTTTATTGTGAACACTGTTAAGTAAAAATTATATTAACATGCATTATCAATTTGTAAATCAAAATGCATCTGAATGATTACATTTGCTTTTATCCGTTTTATGCAACATTTAGTTTCAAAGTTTTTTGCGTCCATTTCTGTTTCCTTAAGTCAAATATTCCAACTGAAGGCAAATAATTCTTCATTAAACTAGTAATTAATTCTGTTAATTGCAATAATCGCTCGCAGCAAGTTTAATTTGCAACAATTATTACTTTTCAGTTGAGCGAAAGAGCAGTTGCAATTTCGATTCAACTCATTGTTTACTTACATGGCAATCGTTTTTCATATTTGATAAGCCATATGCAGTTGCTTTTGTACTTTGGACTTCTTACTTTCACACTTGACCGATGCAGAAATGACAACAGTGAAAGAAAGTATTGAGCATTAGTTTTATTTAGCAATGATGAAATTGTTCTTCTATTTACTATTTATTATGTCGATAACCATTACATTCATTAATTGCAAAGAAAAATTTGCTTGTTTTGCAAAAAAAAATTTTTAATGTCGAAATTCCTAACTGATGGACATCTCTATTTCAAAGTTTTTTGTTCTGACTTCTTCACATTTTCCAAAGATATTCATATTAAGTGCAAAGTTTGCAATATAATTTTGATGGTAATGTGAAGTGTAAGTATTTTACACGTATCCAAAGGAAGACAATCAGATAATTTGGCGCAATCAGATGATTCAAGAAGATTATTAGCACCTTGAGAATCTAAATGATAGTGATAATGTTAAGGGAACAGGTTTCTGATTTCTGAAAATTTAAATCAAAGTTAATCAGTGAGATATTCTTACTAATGATTACTTCATCAATTTTCCTGCAACATTTACCATAACTATGCAACTGAAGGTGATTTGATGAAAAAAAGATATTTTACTGATAAGTTAAAATATAAAAAGGGAAAGATGTGACTTAATTTCCTGTTAACGAATTCCACTAAACAATTGTTTATTGTTTACAAAAGATGAAAGAATAAAAATAGATGACTAACAGTGGTAATAAAGAAGTAAAAAATGTTGGAAAATTTACCGAATAAAAGCAGATCTACCTATTCAGATATATTTTGATTCACAAATTGATAAACATATTAATATGTTTACCTATCGTTAAGTGTGTTGTCACAAGATATTAAAAACTATATCAATTTTGCCGTTATATTCAATTGTTAAATACAACTTTTATTGTAAACAGTTTTTTTATATCATTTTGCTTAAGCTAAACTGATAAAAATAATTTCAGTCCTTTAAAATATTGAGGTTTACATTTGTAATGGGCGTGCTTCATTTATTTCAGCCAATTCCCAGCCTTCTTTTTTCTTTCTTTTTCATTAAAATCCATTTTGAATTCAAATACCAATTCAAAAAAAAAAAAAAAATCTTCCAATACTGTGTACTTGAAACTCTTAAAATAGATAAATTTGGTTATATTAAACTGTCAAGAATTATACAGTGAAAAACTTTTGAAAACAAAGTGAACTTCAATTATTTTTTAATCCAACAAAGGACATCAGGTGAATTGCTCTGAACGCATTATGCTGAAACATCGAATTGTCATTTTACAGTAGGAAGTAATCGAAGTATTTGGTGCTGAAATACGATGTATCATGCTGAGTGGTATTTGACTTCACTCATTATTATATTTCATGCATCACAGAATGATTCATATAAAATATTGGTATATAATCCACGTTTTGGTAAAAGTCACACCAAATTTTTGGGTTCAATCGCTGATACATTGGTTAATGCCGGGCATAATGTAGTAAGTGTTTTTTTTTTTTTTTTTTTTTAAATTTTGAAATATGAATGAATAAAAGTAATGTAATTTGATTGAGGAATAGACGCCAAGTTTGTTTTTGTTATTTTGCAGACCGAGTTTGCTCCTGTACTTTTTGAATTTTCCGATTCCACTGGTTCTAAATTGGCTAAAACAGTAAAAATAGACGCTGATCCGGAAATATCGAAAATAATGAACGTAGAAATTTTTGCTCAAGATGCATGGAAACGAAATCAACAATCCATTTTCTCATTGATTTCGGTACTGTTTGTTTAATAGTTTGCTCATGAATCAGTTTCGGAGTGATTTGAAATTACTATTGCTAAAAGCTTTAAAAAGACATCAGAGTAACTGCCAAACTTTAAAAAAAGAAATACCGTTATATTAATTTAGGTTATGAAACGAATGTCAGATGCTCTTCTGAAGAATTGTGAGTTTCAACTAAAGCAGGAAAAAATAATACAAGAATTGAAATCTGAAAAGTTTGACTTAGCTATCTTCGAATTTAACCAATGCTTTGCCGGTGTGTTATTTATCTTCTCCTGATTCAATATTTAGCCCTTTATACTGCACCACTCATTCATAACAGAAATAGGCTTCATGGAATTTGATAAATTTCAAGCTTAAAACTTTTAAAGCCTAATTTTGACAAATATAAGCA